GAGGAGCTTTTTTCTTCTTCTTTTTTTTCTTCTTTTTTTCTGACCAACACGGCACACAGTCGGTGGTGGCTTATGGTCTCAACGGGGGACCCGGTGTTTTTGACCCGCAACCTACTGGGCCAACCACAAGGGAATACGCGGCGCTATGTTGGGGGTTGCCCCCGAGCACTAACAGTTAAATAAAGCCATTTATACATAATACCTCAGCAAAAATGACCACCAGCAAGCCCAAATTGGTTTTGGGTAAGCACGCCCCACCAATTTTAAGTTGCGTATTTGTTTGGTCTATATGATGATGCAGTGTTTTCATGCCCAGGCCCAAATACAGTTCTGTCCCTACTGGTTTCTAGTGCTGCGCTTTTGGGGTTGTCACTGGACTGTAGGTGCATCAGGATTTAGGAGACCTAGAAAAGGTTTAAAGCTGGTTCAGGAGTCGTAAACATAGACAGAGACATAGACATAGCACAAACATATATCGCAAGTAAACATTGGCCTAGACAGCAACTATCACTACCACTTTTTCGCCGTCGCTGCAAGTTGAATGCAAGTCGCTAACGGTTACACCAAGTTCTGACATCTTGATCTGACAGATAGCGAAATCCAAAGCAGGCAGGAAGTGGCGCAGTCAGCGCGGAGCTGGCCGCTTCGCCCAGAAACACGGTGGAGCGTCTTTGCTTTCAGCTTCTTCCGTTTGTGGGCCTGGTGGAGGAGCCCAAGCTCCTGAAAGACAGGTTCAGAGCGCCTTTGTGCTCCCCCGACGCCGGAGCAACGACAGCCAGACAGCTGTTTGCAGGCAAGTCTGCTGGCTGGCAGCCCCCGCCCTGGCCCGGCCAGGCCAGCTGGACCCTGGCGCCAGCGCCGAGCTGGCGCCGAGCTGGCGCCGAGCTGGCGCAGACTCCGGCCGTCTCCCGCAATTCAGGCCAATTTCGGCAAATTTTCGGACAGATTTTCCAGAGGAAAGCGTAAAAATAGCACAAGAAAAAGCACAAGAAAAAGCACAAGAAAAAGCAAAAAAAAAACACAAGAAAAAGCACACAAAAAAAGCACCGCAAAACCCCAATTACCCTCCCCAGGGACCCCGCTACTACTTTTCATCACGGGAAACCACAAGCGGGAGCGCAAAAAAAAGCGCCGCGAAACCCACAAGAAAAAACACAAAACAAGGCACAATTGGGAGCACAACAAAAAGCACCGCAAAACCCCAATTACCCTCCCCAGCCCGCTACTACTTTTCACCACGGGAAACCACAGGCGGGAGCACAAAAAAAAGCACCGCGAAACCCACAAGAAAAAGCACAAAGGACCACCGCAAAACTCAAATTGGAGCACAAAAAAAGCACCGCAAAACTTGGCCGGCGGGCCGCCTTTTGAAAATTACTCTCCCTTCAGACCGCGAAATTTAAATTACTTGCCCCAGGACCCCCCCGCCAGGCCTCCCTGGGACACCTTAAAAATTTAAAAAATGCGTTCTCCCCCCAACAAAAAAACGCTAGTGCTCCCCGCGACACTCTTGGAACGAAAAAAAGGAAGGAAGAAAGCACAGACAGAAGGTTGGTGAGAAGGGCAGAGAGGAGGGAGGGGGGAGGGGGTTGCTGTGGGCTGGATGTTTGCGTGAGAGGGTTCTGAAGCTGGCGGGGCTGGGAGGTTTGAGGGCCGCAGGTAAGAAGGAGGTTTGGGGGGAGGGAGGGCTGGATGTGTGAGGGCAGCTTGGTTGGCAGGGAGGAGGTTGGGAGCGGAGGCTGAGAGAGAAGGCCGGGAGGGGCTGTGAATGGGAAGGCTCTGGCTTACGCTGGGGGGAGGTTGACTGGGAGGGGATGTTGTGGGAAGCAGCGACCAAGCCAAACAGAAAGGAAGGACGGAAAGGTAATGTTGCAACAGCCACGCTGAGCCGTCGTGTTGCGTGTGCCTATTTAACTTTCCCATTGTATATGTAGTCCAAATAGTTTTTGAATCACTTTATTTCAAGGTCCCCGGAGCTATCCCCCAAGATGCAGAAGGAGTAATTTAGGTTTCAAACCTGCACGGGTACCTTTTTTTTGGTTTTTTTTTAAAAAAGCAAAGTTGCTTGTTTTTCGTGGTGCTTTTTTTTGTGCCCCTACTTGTGCTCACTGTTTGTGGTCCGGGGCCACCCCCAAGCGCCATGTTACTGTTTTGCCTCTATTCAGACTTACTAGCTGGTTGGGAGGAAGCTACCATTTTTTCTGCTTGCAGACATGGTAGGACCCCTGATTAATACCCCCCCCCCCAGTTATTCATCAAGGGAAAACGAACCCCCCCAAACAAAAACGAGCCCTTCAAGAACAAGTTTGGTTAGAATGAGACTGGTTAAACTTGTTTTACGCCCCACTTACCAGGGACACCCATCTATTTTTAACAAAAGGGCACCGATGATTTTGCCTCTATCATGACTTAGATAGGGGCTCCCCTGGAAAAAAGGAATCAGAGCGAAAACGGAACCCCGCTTAATACGTGATTGGTCGACATTAACTTGGCTTCAAAGCACCTCAGCCCAGCTCTAACTACTTTCGCAGCCCCCCCAAAATGGTGCATTCTGACACACGGCCATCTACGCGCCGCATTCCAACTTCCCCAAAAAGTCGGATCTGAGGAAATGAGGGCGCGGAGGGTCTCACCTGCATGGCGGTGAACAACACCAAGCGACTTGGAAAGTCGGCGTCGTCAGTTGCCGTCGTCGTGATTTTTGGTTTGCTCGGAAAGTCTTGTTTGGCTGAAAGGGACCCCACCAAAAAGCAGCTTGCCCAAGTTCTTGGTGATCAACTTTCGCTGAGAACCCGTTTCATGGGCTCAAGAGTCCGGTTTGCAAAGAACAATCAGTGTGCGCATTCGAAAGGAAGCCGTTTGCTACTCATTCATGGGCCACCCACAATATAAGAGGCCAAATTGTTGCACGTATTGAATTGGCTTCAAAGTACCCCAGATTAATTTGGTCCTAGTAGCCACGCCATTGTCAGGCCTCTCATTGGCCTATGGATGGGGATGTGTGTGGTCGGTTTCATATTTGGCTGATCCAAAAGATGCGGCTCTTTTGGGCCAACGGCAACCACTGGTGAGGAGTTGAACCAAGGGATTTTCGGAGAAGCTGGCCTCGTCGCCCTGAAAAACAGCCAGCCCTTTAAGCGGGAAGTAGTCTCAAGGGTGGTGGAGAACCCTGGGAGCAAACAATGAAACACAATTCGTTCTTGTAGTGATAGATTCCCTTTAAAACCAAGAGGGGAAAATAAAACACATGTTCGAGCAAGTGAAAGAGCAAGAAACCCCAAAGGGCAAAGGGCAAAATCGATAGTTAAATTCGGCACTGCAGACGATCGTGTAAGAGTGTCGCAATGCGAGCACCATCCAAAGGGGACCACTCCCACTCCCATTTTTTCGAACTCACCCCGCGAGCTGCTGATTTCATGTTCAAGTTTGGTGCATGTAGCCAACTCTTTAGGCGGGATCGATCCGTTGGGCCAAGTTCGGAGGGCCGATTTTTGGGAGCTCGTCGCCAGGCCTGGGCGCTCCCTTTATCAACACGGCATCAAAAAGATATCCTCCTGAAAATTAACATGGAAGTGCAAAGACCCCTTGTAGAGACGACTTTCCTCTTGGTTAGTTGGGCTTTGTGCACTTCCATGTATGCTGGTGGGAGGGTAGCCTCCTGGAAATTAACGTGGAACCTAGCGCCTTCTGCCCCGCCATTGTGAGAGGGATCTGCATTGGGGAGAAGCTCCGTTTTGGGGGCTCCTTCCATAAACTTGCAAGGAAGTGCACAATCTTTGGTGAACTCAAGAGTAGGGGGTGGCAGGAGTAGGGGATTTCAGGAACGCCTTTCTGTTTCAGAAGTATAGTTAGGCAGTTTTTTTTGTTTTTTAAAGCAACGTTCCGACAGTCTTTCCCATGTGGGGCTGGAGGAGATGTATCCTCCCAAACTGGGAAATTCTGAGCCACGTAGATGCGCGGTGGGGGTTGAGGCCTACTCACCAAAGTCTCAGTGGGGGACACAACAAATATTGGCGCTGGGGACATGGGCGGGGAACAAGCCAAAGTCCACACAAAAATCGGCACAACTCGATTGAGCCACTTGCTCAAAGCCCGGAAAAGATAAGGTTCGTCAGGGCCAGTCCCAGGGTCCCAGCCACCTCTACCGTTTGGGTTGTGGCTCATATCTTTTTTTTGGGGGGGAGGGGGGCACCGGCCAAATTCCGCACAGATCCGGCGGAACACCCCGATCAATTGACCGCGGCTTTGGGGGATCGCCCGAGGAGATATCTGGCGGTGGCGGAGAAGTGCTACGAGGGCGCCATCTGCACCATCTTCGACCTCGTGACCACCAAGCAGCTCGAAAACACAAGACTGCCACGAATGGTTCGCCTGTCCGCCTCGAAATTTCGGGATGTCGTGTCCATTTTTTGAGGCTCGCCTTTTCGATCTTTTCTTCTTCTTTTTTGGGGAGGGGGGCCCGAAAGGCAACCGCCCTAGCATTGACCCCAATCACTTTAGGTTCAAGGGTTTAGGTTTCTGGTTTTTAGGGTTTAGGTTTGGCCCCAAAACACTGACTCTGCGCAGTATTCAGGGTTCGGGTGTGGGGCTTTAGGGTGTTTTTCGGTTTGGTGTTTTAGGGTTTTTCGGTTTACGGTGTTTAGGGTTTAGGTCATTTTTGTTTAGGCTTAGGTTTATAACTTGAGGCTTTCCTTTCCGTAGGGCCGAGGCATTTGCGACCACTCCCCCTCCTCCCCGAAAGGCGTTGGGGCAGATCCCGTGGATTGGCCGTATCATTTGGGGTCCACCCAATTGGGAGACAACCAGACGTCGACTTTCATGCCAGTAGAGCATTTGCCTCCCTCCCCCTCGTGGCGGTGTGTTTTTTTCGGGGGCCCGAGGCAGGTCACGTTGTTTGTTCTTCGGTAACGTGTGCTTTGCATGATTTAAGGTTACCTTGATGAACATGGCCTTCCAACCCTTTTCATTTTGAGAGTGATCCATGGCAACCTGGAACCTTTCTAGCTAGTGGCTGGGAGCCGATTCTGAGCTGCGGGTGTCCAAGTTTGATTTTAAAGAGGCAGCCTTTCGGAGCTACCGATCGAATTTTTGATGCTAAGGGCCATTTCGGGCCGACCAACTTGTTTCTTTTGTTCCCGCTTTTCGATCTTGGTTCCAGGAACATGACCGTTCCAGGAACAAGCGTGCCGATTACCTGTTCTAAAGGTTGACCTTCACGCGTCGTTTTCTTTAAACGCCGCCTATTTTCCCAGGGCTTGGCCCATTTTGTGAAGAGAAGGATCCTGAAGAGAGTGGGGAAGGTGCGGCTAGAAAGATGCCCCTGGTTGATGGGAACCCTTGCATGTGACCTGGCCATGGCCACCCTTGACCCGGGCCACCAAGGGGCGGCCACAATCCCGGTTGGCCATTTTGGCGGATTCTACCTGCCTTGAGTTTAAGGCCTGGAACCCGAAAAACCATCTGGCTGTGGGTCAAAACCGTTTTGGCATCCCATTTTGGGGTAGGTGAATTCACCACCCATTTTAGAAGCTATTTTAGTAGGGATTGGGATGTCCACTGGGAGTACGGGACTTTGACCCATGGCCATCTTGGTACCCCATCAGTCAATAGGTGTTGGGCTTGGCGGTCTTGGGGAAAAAGCACCCTCGGCAACCAGCGCAAACCAAAGGACCCCTGCAGATCCATCTCACAAAGAAGGGAACATGGCAAATTGTGACTCAACAAACAACGCAATCGGTTGTAATGAGAACACCCCCCCCCCATTTGCTCAATGCGTTTTTTTTTTTGTTCTTCTCAGTTTTCCCGTGTTTGAATTGGACATCACGACTGAAGCATGTGTCTCATTTTTGGTGGCACCTTGGAGCCCTTTTGGCTGTTCAGGTGCCCCCGCATTCACCTTTTTGTGTGATCATTGGAAGGGATACGTCGGAGTCTTGATGAAGAACAGGCGCCCGTGGCCCAGAGTTTTGACTTTTGTGACCTTTGTAACATTTTTCGATTCGGAGCGTTTGACCCCAGTCGATTCGAATCTCCTTCGCCTATGAACCCGATGTGGCCACATCATCCGGGATAGGTCATGAAACCCCGAGATAGGTTCTCCCAGAAAACAGTCAAAATAATGAATTCCAGCTTGTGTCTTTGATACCCCCTAGAAACTTGGTAAAAATAGTGAATCCCCCTAGTTTGTGACTTTGATAACTCCCAAAAATAGTCAAAGTCATGCATTACCCCCCGGTCCACAATACCGACTTCACGTCTCCGAGGAAGCGGAAGACGCTGAGTTGGCCCGAGTCGGACGCGCCGGAGTTCGTGTGCGTGGCCTTCTCGGCGGATTCCAAGTACCTGCTGACGCAGACGGGGAAGTCCCCCAGCGAGCCTCCGAACGAAAATAAATCCCCACGCGCAGCCTCCCAACTAACAGTTGGTGCAAAAAGGCCAACTGACCAAGAGGAAGGTCGCCTTTCTACCGGGGCCTTTTTGCACCAACACATGTTAGCTGGTGGGGGGGAAACTGTTGACCCCACAGGAATCAGCCAACCAGTTTAAGAGATGCAGAGAGGCGGCTTAAAACCACGGGGAGCAGCCTCTATGTCTATTAATAGGGGGTGTGTTTCTGGGGAATCATCACTTTTGGAGGGCAACACCTCCCTATTAAGAAACTGGGGTTGGTTAATATGGGGTCAACACGTTCCCGAACTCCCGAAGGAGTTTATCCAAAAGAAAGAGACTGAAAGTTGGAACCCCTCTAAGACAAGCTAAACTCTCTCTTGCATGGGAAAACACCACCCTTGCTTTTGTTAGTTGACTTCAAAGTTCTTGGCAAGTTTTTTTTTTTTTTTTGGGGGGGGGGGTTCTGTTCATTTTGAGTGGGGGCCTGCAAAACACGGTCAGTTTTTTGCCACCACATGGGTTGCGAAGTTGAAGTTGGAGCCCCTCGAGAAGATGTCCGGCCGAGGAGAAGCACGACTGGACCCTGATCTACTGGGTCTGGGACAAAGCGAGGTACATGGCTTCCATCAAGGCAGCTTGGCCGGAAGCGGTTTTCGGGTTTCAGCAAAGGGGGGGACTTGCATCCGGAAAGTCCGCGTGAAACGAATGGGGGTGTCTTGCCGTTTTTTTAGGGAAGACCCCTTCTTGTTGCGGTTGGTGGAAAGGGAAGCTAAAAGGAAAACCACCGATTTTGGGGTTCTATTTTGGGAGGTCACCCTGTTTTGACAGACCCAAGATGGCTCAGTCGCGCAGTCAGGTTCGGGAATTGGCTCAATGGGTTCCGTTTTCTTTTTTTCAGGCGACCCCCAGGATGGCCTCGGTTTTCCTGATAGTTTCCCTTTAAAACCACCCAAAAGTCTAGTGCTACCTTCCCCATTCTTTCAAGGGATCCTTCTTTCTAGAAAACCTACGATAGTTGAAAGGAATGGAACCCTTAGAAAAAGGGGTACCAACTCCAAAGAAGACGAGCCACCCAATTGTGGCCAAGGCCTTCACACCCCCCACGGCTGATGTGCACCACTCCCGTGCTTGCCCGCTTTTTTTTTTGCGGAGCCCAACACAGACCACGGCTTGGGCAACATTCGTTCAAACAGCCAAACCCTGGCCCCTGATGTATGAGCCAAAAGGAGGTCGTTTAAAGAATGGTTGTGGAAAGCTCGGTTTTGGGTCCAATTTCTGTGATACAAGGTGAGGGGAACTCAACTTTAATAGTTATCCCGCATTTCGAACCGCGCCCCCCGGCCCTTTTTAAAGGAGGACCAAGAGGAGCTTGCCATAGTGGAGGAACTGTGTTTGTGGCTTAGTTGCTAGGTTTGCTTTCGCTTATCCGTTGTCGAATTGTTCAATGTTAACGTTTGAGCAATGGAGAGGTGATCAAGCAGTCATAGGGGACCATGTCGTTCATGTTTCGAAACTCATTTTACCCTCTTTCAAACAATCATGGAAGTGGACAGGTGTCTTCCAAAAGGAAGAGAGTCTTCCCAACCTCGCCTGTCAGCCTTTCTTTGTTGGAGGGAGGGTACACAGAATATCCTCGGCCCAACCCCCCCAGCCCCCCAATCCTCCCCCCCCCACCCCGAGCCCCGGCAGCCTCGAGAATCGAGGTGTCCAACCCGCAGAACGCGCTGATCCGGGAGTGCTCCTTTAACCCCACGGACAGCTCCGTGGTTTGCGCTCGGAGCACGGAGCGAACGTGGGGGGGGGGGGGGGGGACGAGGGCTCTGGTTCGTCGAGTGAGCCCAGAAGAAGAGGAAGCAGACGAAAAGAAGAAGGAGGAGGAGGAGAAAAAGGAAAATAAAAGAGGATGAAGAGGAACAAGGAGAAGAACAAGAAGAAGGACAAGCAGAGAAGAGACATAATCATATTTGGGGCCCCCAGGTGGCTTCTTTTTCATCAAGCAGTCTTTTCCCGGTCCCTGTCTAGAAAGCCTCTTGATGGGGTCCGAGGTTTTGCATTGTGTTTTTTGAAGGTGCCTCCTTTCTTGGTGGTTTTACAGGGACGCCAACAGGAAAACCACACTCTTTTTTTTGGGGGGGGGTCGGGCGTTCCCCCAAAACAGAAACAAGCACTTAGGTCGCAGTTTCTGGTTTTCCTTCCGTGCGTTTACGCGGGCGAAGCGTGTTTTGCTTAACAAAAGGCCCGCCACACTTTGTTCCGTTGCCACGTCACGTTTGTCAGGGGCCCCACGTGTGGGGGCTTGTCGGGACCATGGCTACATTCTGAGTGAGGGTGAGACTTCGGAAATAGCCCAAGCAGAGGTCTTTCCCAGCCAACTTGCGAAGGTTCGGTCAACGTATCCCGATCACTATCCATTTGGAGCTCGGCACGTGGGCAGACTCACTACAATTTCCTTGCAGAAACCCGGACGAGCCTCTGCTGTTGTTATGCCCACGGGCAGCTTTCACCGGGCGAGTCTGAAAGTGGGGGACCCCCTCCCCAACGGATTTCTGCGGCCTTCAAACCAACCCCAAAAGGGTACCAACTCCAAAAAAGTGATAGGCGCACATTTTGACTGTGCGGCCTCCAGCCAGGGGTTCGTGCTCTCCGGAAGAGCCGGAATGTCCAACCCGTTTCTCAGGTTGGTCGAGATTTGTCAACGGGCTGCAATCACAAAGGTCCCAACCGTTTTTGTACTGATGTTGGTTCAGATAAGTTGAATCTCTTGATTTTTTGGCAAACTTGTTCGTCGGGCACGGCGCAAAAAGAGACACACCAATCAAGTCACTCTTGAACAATTCACATTTCGGGCGGTTCAGGTCAGGGTTGGGCCTACTAGTTTGAGCATGTTTGAACCACCGCTTCCAATCTCCCTGTGGTTTCCCTCTGAAGACGAGGGCCGGCAACCGGTTTAGGTCATCGGGGACGGCATCTTCAAGTTCATGCAGCTCAAGGAGCGCGGGCCCAGCGTTGAAGCGTCCGGAAACTTTGGGATTTGGGATGGGGCTGAAGAAATGCCTAGGGTAGCCCCAAATTTCTGGTAACCCCAAAAGAAAGGCATGAAATAGGGTAAGGAACCCCAAAAAGAACCGGCTGAATATAGTGGTGGTGGTCAACAAAAACTGGGTAACCCCCAAAAAAGCACCCTGCTAAATTGGGACGGGGTGGAAAAAGCCCGTTTTCTTGCGTTGACTCCATAGAAATCAAGCCCAGAGTCTGAACTTCTTCGGGGGCTGTCCCTAGGTTTCGTGGTTGGAGTCATCAATTTGGGAACGGCAACACGGCAAAAAACGGGCCCCTGGTAAATGGAAAGGACGAAAACCTGCTGTCCTTTTTCTGGCGGTGGAATTCTGGGCTTATACCCATATACAGGAAATTCTAGAGTACGTCAGCCAAGGACATTGTACAGGAAATTAGGCAACACCCTGTTTTGGTGTGTACTTAGCTTGACTTTTTTGGTTCCACGAGTGGAGGGATCTTAAGCTTGACTTTCAGTGGTTTCGTTCCACCCCTCTTTTTTAAATAGCAAACCCCTTGGAAAAAACCGGCGGCTTCCCAACTTTTTGGTGCCTTCCTTTTTCGTTGGTCCACGAAAACTGGACTCGGCCCCAAGTTGAAGCTCGCCGTTCCAATCCAAGCCCTGAGGCAAGGGTGCCTAGCATGTTTTGGGAAGGGTCCCTGTGCACATTTGACGGGGGGAAGGGCCGAATCCCAACTTTCCGACATGTGCAAGTGACAAGATGTGGATGCTGAAGACGAACCCACAATTGTTTGTTTTGGAAAGGACACCAAAGCCGTTGTGTGATTCTACGAAACGGATGTTCCCCGTGACTCTTTCGCTCTCTCTCTCTCTCCCTCTCAATGTATACGGGAGGCAGTTTGCCTCTTAAACCAACCAAAAGGGGGTGCCCTCAGGAAAAGACGCCCATATGTGTTATTTCCCTTGGGCTTTCAAGGGATCGGATCTGAGCACGTGCTGCACGTATATTTTCGTGGCTTGTTCCTTCCCAGAGACAAACACATCCTTCCAAAAGTCGAGTCGTGGAACCGGAAGCCGGCCCCATTTGTACAACCCGCCTTTGGGGGATCTCTCTCGGGGGCATGTGTGTCCGGGAGGCGGCTGGGGATCTCTCAGTCCATTTGCGGTTCAGAATATGTTTTTTTTTTGTTGTTTCCCCCCCCTTTTTTTTCCCCGCTTTGTTGGCTTAGAGACTATTTCGCTGGTGAAGTATGTCTCTATTTTTCCCAAACGTAAAAGCTATCTCAGTGGAACCTTCAAGATGTTTCGGTTGATCCGAAGGAGCTTCTATTTCATTGAGCATGACCTCTCGTGTGCAACTTCAGCTGATTCAATTCAAGAATTAAGGCAACTCGTTGTTTTTTCTTTCATTGGGCCTCATGGTCTTTTGGAGGGTGCCAACTTTTTCCGGTTGTACAGGAAAAGCAACAGGACGCCCAGAATGTTTGTTTGGTACCCCAAGCTCAACCAACTGAGTTCCTTTTTTTTTTGGGGGGGGGGGCTCGTCTGGCCATTTGGCTCGTCCGTTGGCCTCTCGGTTCTGGCAGGAAGGGTTCAAGACGCTGCCAGTGGCGCCCGCGAAGCTGCAGAGCTTCATGTGCACCTCGGCGACGGCGGAGGTGACACCCCAGACGAAGGTTCGGTCCAGGTGAATCGACCAACCAGCTTATTAATAGCGGGGTGGGGGCCCCTCCCAAAGTGATGATTCCCTACTAAACCCAGGGAGAAGCACCCCACTATTAATAAACTGGGGTTGATCAATATGGGGTCGACGTTAACAAGTCTTCCAAAGGGGTCTCTTTGGAGCTCCCGTGTTAGTCTGGGGGAGGGTCCCCTCTCTTCTATGGGGTCTTTTCCTTTTTGAGGCCCGTTACCCATTTTGGATGTTTGCAGAAGATGAAGCCAAAGAAGACAACGCCCCAAAATGAGGAGTGACACGTTATCCCAATTTTGAGACGAACTCTGGTTTAAGGTTTTGCAGTGGATGGATCCACTGCAGGGAGTTTCTCAAAGTGGCCTTAAAACGGTTGGGTTTCCAAGCAGTTCCCCTTCAATCACCAGCCAGGGTCCGAAAAAACTCAATTGGGACACCGTCTCAAAATAGGATTCGGAACCTCCAAAATATGGCTCTTCCCGGTTTTCCTGGTCCAACCAACCCCCAAAAAGGCTACCGAGCTCAAGGTCCCCCAGCAATAGGTGCCCCTTTGACCGTTTCTCTTTTTGGGGAGGGTTACCCTACTAAAATAGACTACAGAAAAAAGGGGGTACCAACTTATTCCAACCTCTCTACTGGAGGACCTAGTCAACCAGCCAAAAGCACGGGGGCGCCGTTAGCTCAGCTCAGGCCACACCTGGCTGCACGACGACAAGATGCTGGTGGCCTGCGAGAACGGCGACCTCCTGCTCTTCGACAACGCAGGCCGGCGGCGCCGTTTTTTCTTTCTCTTCGTTTTGAACAACTTCCGTTTGCTTGTGGAATTATCTCTTGTTAGTTTTATGTCGCAAGCACATAGGAGCAATTGGTTTTCTCTCTTTTATCCTGTGGATTCTATATTTTATGTTATTTTTGATGGTTTTAACAGGAATTTATCACTACAGGATGTTTTTTTCCAGGGGCCTTAGCCAAATGGAAGACAAGAATCGGGCGAGCAACCGCTCGGCACCCAGGCTTCTGATGTATGCAAAGGACACACCGAAAAGGCCCATATCCTGGTGGTTGAAACTTGCCCCATACCCACGTAGGGCCTGCGCGGCTTCTTGTTTGAGGCTCGATACCCTAGGTTCTTATCAGAGCTCCAGTGGTCACCCTTTTGTCAAAATAGGTATCCTTTGGGAAAAATGGTCCCTGGATGATTTAGAGGGAGAACCAACGGTCGAAATTTAGGGGGGACTCAACCCCCTTGTAGAGGCTAATGGGCAATCACTCACCTCTAACCACCAACCCAAAACACAATTCGAGGGAAGCTGACATTTGTCAACTTTTTTTGGAGGGAGTGTTCCTTTGAAGCCCCTCTTTTCCTGGAGAAATCCACAGGTCTGGGCAATAGTTCCCCTAAATGTTTCACCAAACACTTGGGCCACTCAGGGCTAGATTTCGTGTAAATCCGCGTCTTCAAATAGGCCCCCCCTAAAATGAGTGGTTTCCTGTTGGTTTCCTTTTACACCAACCCAGCAATAGACTCACCATGAGGGTAAACCCGTTCGGTTTGGGGGTTTGTGCAGAACCCTCCAAATGGCTGGTATTCCTTTTGGTGTCCCTTGAAAACTGAACAACACACGCACATAGTTCTCCTTTGAACATCACAAGGAGACTCATTTAAAGGTGGTGTCGCCATGCCAAACGGGGAAATATGGGTGTGCCTCAAAATGGGGACCCTCCCAAAATGGCTTCTGTTTTCTTCCATACAGGGAGCCAACTCTAGTGTGAGTGGACAAAATCCTGCTCCAGGTGGGAACTTTGGTGAATGGCTGGATTTTGCTCATCCGGCAGTTGTCATCCTTGTCACCAAAGGATGCCCCAACCAACCAAAAATATATTTTGGGTTGCATCCCCCCGTTTACTCCCCATGACTGAATATTTGGGGTCTCCAAAATATTTTAGGATAGGCTCATGAAACAGAATCATAATTCGCTCAACAATGAAGAGCCAAACAACCGCAGGTTTGAGTTTACTTTTCCATTTTACCCGGGCAACCCATTTTGGGCCGAGTCCTATTTTTGAGCCATGCACATATAGGTGTGGGCCAAAATAGGGGGCACTTCAAAATGACTGACTTCCTTCTGATCTTAAAACCAACAAAAAGAGGGGCACCCTCCAAAACAGACAACAAACGCACATGATGTTCAAGGGGGAAAAACTGTGGGTTAAGCCCTTACAATCCAGAAATGATACAGTGTTACAGACTCTGTGATCTCCTGTGGTGGTCTTTTTTTGCGTTCCTTTCTTTTTGGGACCCGAGAGGTCGCCCTGAAAGTCCGAAGCTCTGAGGCGATTTCCAGACGCTGCTGCCCACCAGCCCCGGGGAGCCGCGGGCCGCCACCTCCATCATCTCCTTCTCCAAGGCAAGCGGATCCCAGCGGCAGCGGAGCGGAGTGCCCTTCGGTTCGGTTCCGGGCGGAGCGGACGCGGAGCCGTTTGATTGGGTCTCCCTGGATGCTGGATGTGTGTGTGTGTGTGTGTGGGAGGTATGGAAGGAGATGGTAGATAGGGCAGCTCTAACATGGGTTGCCGTTTTACATATATATATATATATATGTATATATATACATACATATATATATATATACATGGGAGAAATTTCCGGCTCCCGCCCTTTGGCTTTGCCACGTTGGGCTTTGGCAGTCGGAAGACATGAATCCAAAAGAGTCCCCTAAATGGGTAATTCTTGGTCAGCATTAAACCCACAAAACCTTCTTGGTTTTGGTGCTTTTTTGACCCAGACACAGGACTCAGGTTCCCCACAAAAACCATGGAACTCTTTGGGAAGCAGGTAGTTTTGACCGTGGCCCACATAGCCTTATGTTTTAGAAGAACCTTCTTTTGGGGCCGCCCATTTTGGGTTCCATCTCAATCTGTAGCGGAGTTACTAGTGCGGCAAGTATCACATGACACGGTGGTGAGAATGAGGGGAGTTTCACCACTCGTTTGGTGCGGCAAACCGACTCATTGTTCTGAGAATGCCGTCTGCAAAGAAGATTGCATTGCCGCATTGCCACCATCCCATTAGTATTGTCCATATCAGGCTTGTGGAAAGCAGGTTGGTTCCCACTTCCAGAAGTGGTTGGAAGTCCCAGGCTTGCCCAAAAAATGACGGCTACCTAGCAAGTGCTCATTGTGAGTAACAATCAGTTTGCACATGGACCCCCAATTGTGGCCCCATTTTGCTGGTTGAAATCTGCAAATGTGCGCTAGCTGTTCCAGTGGTTGGGTGTGCTGCCCATCATGCGCCACTTTGAGGCTGCGCACATCGCATGGACCATTGGATGCCCTCAATTGGGTAGTGGCGTTGACATTTTTTTGTGGCTGGATCAGAATGGAGCTCAGGGGACACATACCTCGGCCCCCCACCCCCCAAAGCCGCACCCCCAAATCCCCAACCCGCCGCCAGCCGGCAAGACCTTATGTGGCATGTCTACCTCCCAAGGCGTATAAAGCTCTTGGAGGGTGAATTAGAAGGTTGCGTCCATGCCAAGCCCTGGTCTAAACATGTGGCTCTCTCTTCTCTCTCTTTCTCTCTCTTTCTTTCTCTCTCTCTCTCTCAAAATCAGGGAGCCTCTGACAAACGTGGCTCGGATATCCTGAAAAAACGCAAACCCCTCTGTACCGAGCCTCGAAAAAAAAGCCGGAGAGTTTTCTCCCCCAAGAGGTTCCTTTCAGCCGGACCTCCCCAGTTCCAGTTGCTTAAGCCCTACTTACCTTCCTGATGAACATGGAACCCAGATCCTTCATGACAAGCCCCCAGAGGGCGAACGGTGAACCGCGTTTTGGACAATTCAGGGGGGCGAAGCACCCAACCCATTCGGGTCTCAGAGCTCGCCATCCACTTCTCAAAACG